GGAAGACGTGAACCCCAGGTACTCTCACACGTTTAGGAACAGGGTGTGCTGGTGTTGGTTACCGAAAATGAAGTTGTGACTGCTCCACACCCGGCTGGAGAAGAAGGGCTAATGGTGTTTTGGGTAGTGTGAGGCCTCTGGGGAAAGGCAGTCGCAGGAGAGAAATTACAAGTCACCTCCTGCCGGGCTTGATTGTGCTGAGCTTGTGGCTCCGTGAGCAGCTCGGCTGGCCTGGTGACTGCCCGGCACTGACATGGGAAGGTCCTGCTCCCTTGTCCTCCGTGTTTTTCTCCTCTGAAGAGGATCACAGAATGTTGGGGTTGGAAGGGACCTCTGGAGATCTCCCAGTGCCACCCCCTGCCAGAGCAGGGTCACCCAGGGCAGCCACACAGGAACGCGTCCAGGCGGGTTTGAAAGTCTCCAGAGCAGGAGACTCCACACCCTCTCTGGGCAGCCTGGGCCAGGGCTCCAGCACCCGCACAGCCAACAAGTTTCTCCTCGTGTTCAGGTGGAACTTCCCATGTTTTAACTTAAACCCCTTATTCCTTGTCCTATTGCTGGGCACCACTGAGAAGAGATTGTCCCCTTCCCCTTGACACCCACCTCTCAGATATTTCTCTACGTTAATAAGAACATAGAAGCGGGGGAAGAAGAAAGCAGGCTGCTCTGTGATGTTCGGCTCTGCCCTGCCGACGTGCTCCCCTTGATCTCCAGGTGCAGAGTTAGATCCCTTTGCTTAACGCTTGACTTCTAGGAAATCCGTGCCTTTTTCTGCTTTGCTTGCCCTGTCGTGCTCTCTCAAGCCACTTGTGCCTTTCGCAGTGAAGCGATTGATTTGTCCTGAGGCGTTTTACAGAAGGCTGGGAAATCAAAAGGAGGGAACAGGATCAAAGCCCTGGTGCGTCATCAGGGCGTATAAGGACTTTTGAATATGGCGTTGCAAGTGTGGACAAGGCCACGAGGAAGAAAGATTCATGGTGAAGCAGTGTGAATAAAAAAAACATTTATATCACAAACTTTGTAAAAATCAAGAGTCTGTTGAAAAGAATGCTTTGTTAGATACTTAGTTACTCTTGCCTTCCCAAGGCTACACCAACAATAAACATTGATGAACTAAATTGTAGACACTGTGTGGCACCTAGTGGATAATTCAAGGCTGTAAACTGCTGCTTTGTGATGTTTAAGCAAATATTCCTTCCTTTTTTTTTTTTTTTTAGGCTGGTTTGTCTGAAAATGTCAGTGATGCTGATGCTTCATGTAGCAACTTGTTGTCACTGTATCTTATTTCTGTTCTGTGAATAAACAGCGAAGTTGGACCTTTGTTGTGTGGGCAAACAGGGTTGTAGCTGTGCTCTCATGGTGCTCTGGAAAAACCCTCCCTTCCATCATGGATGGCCCTTTCTGTAAGGTGCAATTTTAGACTGAATTTAAGTAAACTGTGTGAAAAAAACCTACTTCATCAGTTTGCTGTCAGTTAAGTTCACAGGTATGGGGGTGGGGGAAGCTACATGTGTTTAGGCGGCAGTAGTTCTTCTGGATAAAATTATAATATTAACTATATACTGCATCTTTGTTTATCTGTCTGTAAATAAGGCTATTTCCACATGGAGTTCTGGCTTTAATTTTTCTTGCAGCTTTAAAGCATGTTCATTGTTAATAAGATTCTAGTCTAGCCATAGATAACTCTGTATTATTATTATTATTTTTAAATGGTTCAGCATTTCTGTAACTTTGTTTTCCAGAACACTTGCTTACAGTAGAAGCTGTTTTAGTCCTTTCTTCAGGAAGTATGTTATAAATGGGTCATTAACTTTGCCAAGGTGTGGTTTGCCTTTTTTTTTTTTTTTTTTCCCCCCTCCCTCCCTCAGCACAGGCATTTAGCAGTCTGCTGCTCTTATCAGGGCTGTGTATAGTTCTCATCTAGATCAGGAAGTAAAAGCAGAAGAAAAATGCCTTAAACTAATTTTATGTATTCAGAGAAGATGAAATTACAGAAGGTATTTTGGATGCGTGGTTGCTACCAAATTTTTGAGAAGGAAATAAAATTTAAAAATGGAGTGCTACTCATACCTGATTTTATGACCAGTTTTGATTCATTCGTGATGCTTACTGGAAACAAATGAGATGATTTTGAGAGGCTGTAAACCAGCATTGCTCAGTTTATTTGGTAAAGCAGCTGCAGGTTGAGGACAAAACAAGTAACAGTTGGAATGTTGCGGGGCAAGTATGCTCTATCTGGTGCACTGATAGCTTGGAATAAAACGTCATGATGGGAGAAAGCCGAATTCTATTTTTAATTACATAAATGAAGTTCAAGACACAGCTGGATTATGCACATGTGTGTTCTAATTTATTTTTTAGGCAAGTTCAAGTATTGTAGAAGAAATATAGTTAAGGTTTTTTTTTGACAAAGCTCTTGGGCACTCAATTTATTAGAAGGACTCTAATGCTAAGCATTAATTCCTTGTTAAGAGTGTTCTTAGAAAATACAAACATTAATAAATTTTTTTTCTTACATGTTGTGTACAGAGGTAGAAAAATGGAAGTAACAAATATGGTATAATAGTGACAGGAAAAAATGTGCCTGCATTATGTCCTGGGTTCGGATGTTACCAACACTTATATCTTGATGGCAGCTACGGGATGATGAGCATTATGATCTTTCAAGGTCTCTTCCAACCCCTAACATTCTGTGATTATTCACTTTTGTAAAGAGTATACCCCTAGAAGTCCTAGGAGTCTCTACACCACTCTAAGCGGACCTAGAACCTGTTGAACACTGCAGGTTGTGTACGACAGGAAGGATGTTGAATGGCAGCAACCCAGAGGGCAAGTTTGAGGAACGATAATAGATTTTTAGGAGTTGTGTAAGCAGAAAAAAATTCATGAAAACTGACACTGACTTTTATCATTTAGCAGCATGAGCAAAATACACCAATTGCATCCCTTTTGAAACGTGTGGGGTTTTGCTGGAGTGATTTTTGGACCAGTGTTTTTGTCAGTTTATTAGATGAAGGTAGATCATAAGATTTTTAAGTCGCTACACAGAATGTCAGTCGTGCAAAATAACTTGAGCGTGTTGGACAGCTAAAGCGTAAGTGCTTGTCTTTTGAAAGAAGCCTCTTGTGTTAGTGTGAAAGAGTCTGTGCAGGACATCCCAGGTCTCATGTTTGTATCTTGAAGTGGGAGATTTTGGGAGCGTTGTGTGCTGTGTGTGCACTGTCAGAGTTGGTCAAACTGAAAAGGGGTGAAGGCTGAAAGAGCAGGTGGGCTGCTTCGCTGCACGAAACTCCTGAATTCCTGAGGCGCTGCAACTCGGGGGTTGGGGATGGAGTATGTTGCAATAGTGTTGTGCCAAAAGGGCTTGGACATAGGGAATATATTCGTGTTTATAAACAACAAAGAAATAGGTGTACTTTTTGTTGTATGTGTGCCTACTATTCTGATACTTCCTGATGTTCTTTCACTTGACAATAATCCCAAAACATGTGCTGAATCTGCTCATTTGTATTTCAGACTTCTGTTCCTATTACTTCTTCATTTGGGAAAAAGGTCCAGTTATTTTAGGAGATGGCAGTAGTCTTCAGCTGAGCATGAAATTCTGTTCCCTGGGAAGAGAGAACAGAATAATCAGACTTTTTTATTCCTGTGCTTATAAACACCAGTTTTTGAATAGTTCCCCAAATCTTCTGACTTTTAGTTAATGCGTACCACTGCTGTGAGATCAAATCTGCATTAGCCTGATGACAGCACTTCTGAAAGTCACAATTTGGTTCTGGTGATGGTTAAAAGCTGTGGGTCTTAACTTCATGCGGACTTCTGTTGCTGAATCCTGTGCAAGCATTTTCATTGCCATTTCTGCCCAAGTTATCATAGCAGAAAAAGATAATTTATGCTTTATTTAAGATATCTTCCAGTTCTCGGAAGAACTGGTGGTTTTTTAGGCTTGTTCTGGAATTCTAGAGAAAGAACAAGGACATCTGAAGTTAGCATGTACTTTAAAATAGGTCCATTTGTGAATGTGTTAGTCTACCTGCCTTATCTTAGAGTAGCTCAATTTTTTTTTGCTTGCACACAATCCATTTAGTGGAAGAGTTCACTTAAAATGTAGAAACAAACTGGAATATTTATAGACCTGTGATTATTCAGACTGATTTTTTTATGAAGCTGTTTATTATCAGCAAAGATGAAAATTTTAGCTACAGCTTCCTGAAATGGGCAGGGACAGTTTATGGTCAAGAACGCTGTACTGATCAGTGGTTTTTGTTAATTCTTCTTCAGTTTTCTAAACATGAGCTTAAATGGGTGAACCATTTTTAGTAACAATTTGATTATTCTGACTGGTAAATTTTCTCTCTCCTCTTACAGAGATAAAATCAGCAATATTTGATGACTGCAGGAAAGAGGAAGAATGGAAGGTACAGTTTTGTTCTAATTTCTGCAAGAATATTAAAATCACTTGAATAGATACTCTGTATCACTGAGTGGACAGGAAATAAGTATTTTTTTAGTGGCTGGTGCTTTAAAATTGTTTTTTATCCATGTAATGGTTTTTAGTTCTTTTAACTCAGATCTTTACATAATGCATAATGGAAAATCTAAGGGCTAGCATAGGAAGAACAAATGGTTAGTTGCCTTGATTATTTTTTTTTCTAAGTTTCAAAATAAAATTACAATCTGTTTCTGATTATTTTCACTTTGCTTTTGAAAGATTTGTACTTTATAAATTTAAGAAAATCTACTGCTGTACAACACGTGGAACAGGATTCAGCAGTATGATGCTTGTTTGAGCTATAGAAGAGTTAGAATAAGTACAGATATATTTAAGCAGGCTATGAGTGAATTCTAAATACTTATGTCGAAGTGAAAGTTTCAAGATGCTTTCTAGTAGGAATAGTGGGGACATGCTACTTACTTAAGATGGAGTTAATCTTTTGAGATCTTGTATACAAGGAGCTGCTTTCTGGTGCTATTTGAGATTAGTTTCCCTCTGCAAAGTAAAAATAAATTTCTGCTTCACGTTTCTGTGGCAAGTTGTTAAGGGAATAACATGGCTTTACTATAGCTGACTGATTAAGGTAAATATTTGTGCTTTTTAAATATATTTAGATAATTCTTTTAGATGATTACACTACTAAATTGCTATCACTGTGCTGCAAAATGACTGATCTACTGGCGGAGGGTATCACAGGTAAGCATAATTCTTTCTAATGTACAGATTGCAATATCCTGATAAGAAAAATGGGAAGAGTAAATTAATTTGATTGATGAATTGAAGTACCTGTGGGATACTAGACTAACAGTTTTTCTGGCTTGTACAGCAATTATCCAATTGTGATTTTATTTTTTAAACGAAAAATCAGGTGTTTCTCTGTCTAGAAGCTAGGCAAAAAATTCAAAATCTTTTTGCTAAAGGTCATTGTAAGTTTTCTTGGTGTTTGTTTTGTACTTGAAAAAGAATTGTTTGGTTTATTTGGATTTCTTGTTTTGTTTCTGTGGGATTTTTTGGGGAGTCGTTTGTGTGTTTGCTTGTTCATGACTGGGATGAGGTGACTGAGAAAGTTATCTGTCACTGAGGGATGTATTTGAAGGATATTATCTGCCAGCTGATGTTAAGGAAAAACAAGAATTCAGTGGATGTTAGTAAAACATACAAGAATAGGCAAATTACTCTGCATTTTTTCATACTGTGTTCTGTAAATCAGTATCTGCTGCTTTGAATTAATTTATGCTCAGGAATGGTGGAGTTAGCATATAAAAACTTAAGTACTGAGGACAAAATGACTGGTGATATGCTTGCAAGCAAGTGGATGTGTTAGAGGCAAGAATTTATAATTGGAGCTCCATTGTGCAGATTTATTTTAGCTTCTCAAAACTAGAGCTTTCTGCAGGTTAAAAAAAAGAAAAAGGAAGTAAAAACTTGAAAACTAAATTATATTGATGATTATTTTAATTAGAATAAACTCATAAGCAACATTAACAGTAATTAGATAGTCACTGTTCCAAATAACATGGGAGTAGGCTCTAGTGAAGTGGTGTTTTGCAACTGCTAGAATGTCTCTCCTGTTCTTTGGTGTTGCCACTGTCAGAAATGAATAATAGGTGGATTGTGATGGACCTCAGTTATGCAGTATGTCTATTTAGATTATTTTTCTACATTTGTTTAAAAGAAGTATTTTCTCTTTAGGAAGTTTTATGGGCTTTTCTTCGCTATGACCTTAAAAAACCCCATGTTTTTTCTATCATAAAACTTTTTTCAAAGTTGCTTTTTATGATTGACCTTTCTGTAATGTTTATTAGCCTATCATTGTGTAGAACTTCTCTCCTGCCTGGTTTTGAAATTGAAATGAATGCATGAAATGTAAATGATCAAGGTTTTAATTGACTTTAGGCTAAGATATTTAGAATTATTTTTGCAGGAGAGCATTATTTAGACTTAGTTATTTTTCGACAAGTATCAGAACTTCTTATTTCAGCCATTAAGTATAGCTTGATTGTGTTGGAAGTATAATAGATAGATAAGCTATATACGTTTCCCTTTTTGAAGTGTATTTTTAATCATAAGAGGTGCTACTTATCCTTTGTGAGAAACTTCTAGTGAGCATATATCCTGTTTGCCAATAAGAAAACCTTTTATTTTTTGTGAGTACGCTACTGAAAAGGATCTGACTTTTCACATTAAGACACCTAACATCACATACCTCCCTTGTTCCTCCCCCTCAGAATTACTGAGAAACATAAATCTCTGCGTTCTCAGGCTAGTGTCCTGCAACACTGTACAGTAATGACTTTAATAAATAGGGAAAACTAAGAGTTGAGTGAAGCTAATTTGCTGAAAATGTCTAATTTGTGCCTGCAATTATAGCCAAACAGTAGTTGCACAGGAAATAGGCAAACAAAGGACAGAAGAGGCTCTAATCCAAAATGATGCCCCACATAGTTTGATTCTTCTCCTTCACTGTGCTGGAAAAAGAACAATCTTACTGAGGCAATTCTCTTGCAAACTGGTTTGTACTGGGCCCCGTAGTCTGAAGATTTCTGTTTTGCCGTACCTTTCTGTGTGGGGGCAAAACTCTGCTTCTGTACAATAGTGAGGAGAAATTTAGCTGATGCTCTACTGAAGGTTGAAGAAGTCCTGTGGTAACTTGCCGTATTTAAAATAATAAAAAAAATTAAGGCCGCCTTGGCAGAAGGTACGTCTTTGCCACTGATTTTGTGGACAGCTTGGTTGGTGTTATTTTTGTCACCTCTATACTGAAATACGTACAGTGCTTTCCTTACAGGTGCATAAAGCTCCTTATGATAAAAATGTAATACTTCTTACTTTACAGTGGTGGAGAACGTATATAAAAACCGTGAGCCTGTCCCACACATGAAAGCAATATATTTCATAACTCCTACCAAAAAGGTTAGTATCTTAAAGAAAGGGCAGTAAGATCTTTCAAACTGAAACAGCAGTCTTATATTGAAATATTTATTTACTGGTTACAACTGTGCAGTCCTTAACTGTGATACTTCTCTGTGTGATGCTGAATTTTTCATAATGAAAAGACAATGCAGTGTAACCACAGAGCAGGCTGCAAATGTACTTTTGGATCAATAGAGGCACTGTGTCAGTGCTTAGATATTAGTAGCCTCAATGGCGGAGATACTGTCACAAATAATGACGCAATACATTGACCAATGAAATTCAAAATAATGGCTCGCTAAGAGGTTATTGTTACTTCCTAAAAATTCTTGAGAGAATAAATCCTAGCACTGTTATAGGTTGAAAGCAATGTGAGTATCCTGCCTTCTGTGCTTGCTACAGTGATCTTGTTGCATGACTGATGCTCTGCGATTGTTTGTTTTCTTGTGTGTTGATTTGCCATATTCCTAAGTGGGACTGTATAATTAACAGAGCAGAGAGAAGCTTTGTCTGGTATGTGAGGAAAGGCAAACACTAAAATGATGATATTTTTTCTTATTTTTCCTACACCTGGAAGTCTGTAGATGGACTTATTGATGACTTCATCACTAAATCATCCAGCAGATACAAAGCAGCATACGTGTATTTCACTGACTGTGAGTAAGCTTTTGTGTTGCAGTTTGATAACTTCTATATACAGAAATAAGTAAGTTACTCAACTTTCTTTCCTGTAGTTCAGTACATGAAAATTTTGGGCCCTTTTTCTTGAGAGAACATTTCTGACTCAAGTTGTTAGCCGTACTTGGATTGTATGGTGACCAAACCACATGGCAGTAGTAATTTCCTTTACAATTACTGAAGTTGATCGTTCCCCATCTCAGCTTTTAATTTAGGTGATCTAGCTTTACTTTTCAAGTATTCCAGTTGCCTCCTCATGTTGGACTGCGTGGAGGGAGCCAATTCAAGTAAAACTATGTATCTCAGGTATCTCAAATGCATGATAATTTCCTGCAAGAACTTTTATAACTGATTATTTTAGGTAGTTCCTTGAGACCTGTGAGACAGCTTTTTCTCCTCACTTTATCTTTGCTGGCATGACACAAATTGCAAAGCAGAGACAATTAGTGCAGATGGGGTTAATGAGACTGTGCGCTCCTCTGCGGGACTAAAATGGAGCTTTGGGAAGGGAAGACAAAAACCCAAACATGCCACCAAAGGCAGAGACTGAGTTGTGGCTGTCTCTGTGGATGGCACATAGCTGCTACCGTATGTTCTCAAAGCAGTTACCAAATTACTATGAAAACCTCTTGTCTTCTTATTTACATTTATGCTGACGCAGCAATTATTGTTCTGGAAAAATACTGCTCTCTTGCTCTATGTCCCTTTGTTGCAAGTGTGCAGAATTTTACTTTGAATACTTGCCAAAGCTCTTCACGTTGGTAGGACTTAGAGAAATACTCTGTCGCTTCTGAGTCCGTGTAGTGTTTGTGTCATCCAAAAATTCCTTAAATTCAGTTTCTAGGCTGGGATCCAGGGTAGTGTGCAAGTGTAACGGAACACATCTGAGATCTGTAATTAAATTCTGTATTTCTCTGTATTTTGCTGCTTGATATATACACGTTATTTCTTCCTTTAACCTTTTTGTAGCTTGGCAAAGGTTTTCTGTCTCCTGTAGGAGAAGAAATAGCAGAAAGTTTTGCTTTGATAAAATCAATATCCTTCACTACTGAAGACTGCTAATGAGTGTTCTATGACCTTACTTGCCAAAAGCTCATAAAAAATGCTTCTTGAAAAAGGTCTCAAACACAAAATCCTGATTATACATTCTCTTTCATCTTTAGGAAGATTTGGAAACTTTTTATTTTGTATGTTCCCATTTAATTGAGTCTTAACTTAGAATTGTCTTTTCTGTGCACTCTAAACTTCTAAGTGACATGATAGCTGAAATAAGCATAAATCATTTGTGTATAAATCTTCTTTTTCTCCTAGTTTGCCCTGACAACCTCTTCAATAAAATTAAGTCTTCCTGTGCAAAATCAATAAGGAGATGCAAGGAGATCAACATTTCCTTCTTCCCGTATGAATCGCAGGTGGGTTTTGTTCATCTCAACAGCAGGAAATAGCCTGGAGGACTATTTTCAAGTGTTGTTAACCTGACAGAAAACAGCTAAATAGAACCTAGCAGGTTTTTTTTACTGACAGTTTATATGAGAGACCTATTGTAGTTTTGATATATTTCCAGTGCTTGCCTACACTTTTCAGACGACAATAAAAGCTCTTGGACTCGCAGGCTTAGTGTTTGCACTTGGCCTCTTTGCAAGACTTGGAGTCAGTTGCAATAGAGAGGGAATCTTAAGGGAACCTTAAGAGAAGGAAAGTATTCTGGCCTGTCAATAGTAAGCAGTAATGTGCTCGGGTTTTTTTACTGCTTATACTGGGGTGTTATTTTGACAGACTAGACAGATTGGTACATAGGAATAAGTAAAACTACTTGGTGAAAAGGAGAGCAAATGAATGAACTGAGGGGAGAGGAACAAACCCAAAACCTCACAGAGAAGAAAAACAACAATGATAACTTGATAAGCTATTTATTGAGAGGAAAACACAGAAATCCATGGGTTTTTTTCAACCAGAAATGTGAGACCACCAATGAAATCCGATGAGTAGTTTCCATAGGAAGCCACCCAGTGAGTGGTGGTGAGTAATTTGTTGCACATCCACTTTCTTGGATAGAGAAGGCTGAAATGCACTCTGGTACTCACTAATACAGTGAACCCTCCAAACCCTGTCCACTGTTAGAAGTTGTAGAACTAGTGGTGTTCTCCGCAAGTCTTTCCTGTATTCTTTGATCTTTATGAACACATCAGTGATCAGATATACACCAAGTGGCAGATGAATATGGGAGAGGTTGCTGCTATCCATGTATTAATTTGGATGCAGGTTCCTGGTTTGGAGACACACTCCTTTTTAATATAAAGAGGGTTTGGGCTTTTTTTTTTTATTACTTAGATTGAGAGGCCATCAGAGAATAAGTAGCATGGTGGTTTGTTTATTTTCCAGTGATGTTAATGTTCCCAAGTTTTGTTTCAAACTGATTGTTGGGAGTTCCGCTAAAGCAAGAACAGTTTGGTAGCTTCCCCACCAAATAAGGCATATGAAAATTTTGTTGCCTTGGTTCTCTGGAGGATTTAGCATGAAAGTAGGAATTGGGACAGGATTTCTGAAGTGGAAAATAAGCAATGGTTAGTCACTTGTTTTTATTTTAGTGTTCTCAGTATTTTGAATTGTGAGAACATTTTGAATCCTTAGCAAATGAACAGAGAATGTTAACTAGTTCTCCTAATTCAAGATCTGTGGGCCTGCTTTCTGGAGTGATAAGAGTAAATAATCAGACTGAGCTCTGGGCAAAGTCCAAGTGAATTATCTGCTCAAATGAAACAAACATCTTTATCTGGAGGGATATTCTCTGTAGTTACAGAGTCCATCTGAAGCTGGAGAAAATCCATTAACTGACAATTGGGTTGTTTCTTACTTTGCATTCCTTTTCCTAAACTATTGAAAAGGTTTTTCTTTTGCGTAGTACTAAATGTCTTTTATCAAGGTTTAATGCATTGAAAGAATCTCAGTTCTTGGAAGTAGAGTCTTCATATAATAAACAGATTTGATGTATAAGATTCTATTTTAAACAAATTTAACTTGATACCTTCTGTGATCATTTTGATACTACATTGTATGGCTCTGCATGAGGCATGGGATGATATTTAGTTCTGCCTATCTCAAGGTTCCTCCAACTGTACAGGCAGTAAGCAATTTGAAAAATGTGGTAATTTGTGTAGAGAAGGAGAGTAATAGAGGAAAAAAATGTGAGAACAAGCAGCAGATGAGCTCAGTAGGACAGAGAAAGAGGACTGGAGTGTGGAGGTTTGGTTTTACGTTTTCATTTTTTTCCCCCATCCATTTATATTGCGTATGACTCTTTATCACAACATGTAGTTTTAGAGTGTTAGCAATTCTTTTGTCAGATATTTTAGAAATACACAATTTAAGCCATTTGTTTTTCTTGGTTGTGCTTTATGTAGGTGTTTACTCTCAATGTCCCAGATGCATTCTATCGCTGTTACAGTCCAGCTCTGGAAAAGACAAAGGAGAGAGATGCTGTAATGCAAGTGATGGCTGAACAAATTGTTACCTTATGTGCCACGCTAAATGAGAATCCAGGAGTGCGATATAAAAGGTGAGGCAATAACAGTGTTGTGTAGTGTAGCTGCTTTCACTCCTAACACTTCCTATGTTGCTTGGTAATAGCTTGAGGCTGCAGCATCGTTTCTTTTAGTGTGCATGAATTGTTTTTATTCCACAGCTCCAACTGTGGAATGATAGGAGTTTGTGAAGTGTAGGTGGAGCAGCAAGTCATTTCTCTGTGTGTAATCATACAACAGCACTTACTCTCCCCCGTTCTGTAATGAACCACTTGTTTCATGTTTGGTCAGTAGGGTGATACTCTAGGATAGCCCATATGTAATCCTGGAGCAGAACTGCCACTGTTAATAGTTCTGCAGTCTTGATTTACAAATGAAGGCATTTGTAAATTGCTGAGACAAGTGGGACCAGGATTTCTTTGTAGTAGAGATATTGAGGAGAATACATCTTGAGCAGTGATGGACAGCAGAGAGTAGTGTCTTGGAAGTCAAAGTAGGCATCTGAAATTATGCTCAGAGTTGCCTTCTGTGGTGTAAGGTGAAGCGGTGCCTTACTCCCTGTAAAGGTTGCAAAGAAATAGTTGCTTGACTTTTTCTTTTTTTTTCTTTCTTGTTTCACCCCTCTGCGTGAGACTTTTAGGTGCTGGGCCATGTGCCAGCTAATGTCAGTCTTTTGGCTGAAGCTGTTTCTGCTGTGTGAAATACCTGAAGCATTCAAAGAGTGAAGTCATAATGTATGAGTGAAAAATATATTGGAAATACTTAGAATGAAGTTCAGAAACGGCTCATGAAACCAGAGGATCAATCTAGGGAGTTCTTTCTGTTTTAAAGGTAGCATTTCAGTATTTTGACGAAGGAATTTATTTTTGCATGCTTCCTTTTTTCCTAGTGCACCATCTGATAGAGCCAGCAAACTTGCACAGCTTGTTGAAAATAATCTTGAAAACTACTACAAAACTGATGAGAAAAGCCAAATAAAGGTAGAAAGTGAGCTAAACCATTTGCTTCTTTTTTTTTTTTCTGAGTTGGAAAAAAGTATTTTTTTAAATATTTTTTTGACAATAGGTTCTACAAAACCAGGTTTTATTTATTAGTAAAGGCAACTACTTGCCATTTAGGGGTTTTTGTGTGTGTGAAAACAGCTTAGAGGTAGTAATTGATGCAGTAAATCTGTATGTAAGCAAATCGAATTTGTGTGATCAAACTAATTGTACTTCAAAAATTTGGCCCTGTAATAATGTAGGGTGTGATACAAAGCCGAAGGACAGTAGGTAACTTGTTTTAACGTCACGTGCCATAGGGCTGTGTGTTGAAGAGACTTCACTGCAGAACTGAAAAGTCTCCCATCACGGGATTTATTGTCTGTAGAGATACAGCTTTCCCATAACTAATGTTTCTGATCTGTCGCTATAGATAAGGCAGCTGCCTAAATGCAGAAGTGTGGGGGAAACCATTCTGACTTGGTGACATTCCACTCTGCTGCCCAAATATAAACGATGTGACTGTCGCTTTGCTAAACCCCAAAGTGAAACTTTCTGTTGAATGTTTGGAGATTTTTTTTTTTTTCTGTGTTGCGGCACAGTGTAGATAATCCGCTCAGAAATGCAAACAGTACTTCCTTGTGCAAAGTCAGTGGGAGGCACTTTTTGTGGGTTTTTTCCTTTACTTTTTAAATTTTTTGTTGGTCAGGTGAGGTTACTGAATGCATTGCCATGGGCTAAGTGCATTGCCTTAAAATTAGTAGTTAAGATCACTGTGTTGTGTTTACCATTTAACTGTTTGTTTCTATTTCTGTGGATAAACTTGGACTATCTTTTTAGTTGTTTTCAGTTATCTTTCCAAGAGTGCCTGCAGTGCTGTAACTTACTGTAAATAGATTTGACATGTATTAACTTTGTATGTCTTAACTGTACATTTATTTGCTGGCTTTCTAGGCTAAAACCAACTCCCAACTAATAATAATTGATCGTGGCTTTGACCCAGTATCAACTGTGCTTCATGAACTCACCTTCCAGGCAATGGCATATGATCTGCTGCCAATTGAAAATGACACTTACAAGCAAGTACTTTTTTTAAAAACAAATCTAAAAGCTTTATTCTTGATTATCAAACTTAGGAAATTGTTTAGCTTATTGTATCGCGGTGGTATTAACTACTTAGATTATGTAAGGGTTTCTTCACTTATAATTAATCTTTCCTCTTGTGTTCGTAACTACCTCTTTTTGTTAATTTCCTTGTTGAGATTAGGTGGGATCTAATAGGCATTTTGGCTAAGTTTTGAGTCTAATATTGTATTTTTTTTGTTTTAAAAAAAGGGCTTTGTACTGGAGTTGAAGCAAAACCTTGCTAGTGCATGTTCAGATTCTCTACCTTTTCTTTCATATTCTCAACCTTCTTGGCCTAACAAGGCAAACGAGACCAGTAGCTGAATACTGAGAAAAAGCTTAGTTCTCAGGAACACTCACTTTTATAGCTCCCATCATTTCATTCGTGTAGTTGTTAAAATTTGGTTTCCAATCCTAAATACACATTTAGGTATACCATATTCAGTTTATAAGCACTATTTTATCACTGTTTGGAGTAGAGTGACATGGTTTGGCATGAGGTAGCACTTTGCTGCTGGATTGTTCTAACACCAAAGATTTTGGTAAGACTTATTGCTTTCTGATGACCCACTGCAGCAAATGAGATCTAATCACCTCATTCTTTAGTTAAGCAAACAGGAACATGAATCTTCTGATGAGAATGCAGAGTGAATGTTCTCCTAGAAAACACAGGATTATATGAATCTGAAATTTGCTGGGTAGGAAAACAGAGCAGGGTGTTTTCTAGGTGGTCGTGATCTTTCACAACTAATCTTGTATCTATTTTTTTTTTTATCTTTTTCTGCTTTCTAGCTGTATCCACTGTGAGTTTCTATAAATGTATAATTACGTAGTGTGATTGCTGTCTTGCTTTATAAGTTGGTTTGCCTGTAAAAAAAGTAATACCTGTAGTGCTGTGAAGCATGCTTCATCTAGATGTTAAATAATTTGTCCTACTTAGTCTGTTTTGTTGGTGAATGAGCTTTCGTTTTCTTTTGGAGTTACAAAATGTCAGATAGTAGATGTAGAAGGCTACATGTTGCAATTTCAATGTGTGTTACTTTGCGCACAGTTTGCTTTTGAAGGCAAAGGGAAGTTGGCATTGAAAGCTGAAGAGAACTGAGGTGCATATAAATGTATGAGTGAAACCAGTTACTGCTGGTTTAAAAGAACGTCCAGCAGCTGTTGCCCCAAAAAAGTAATTCTAAAACTCATTGGCTGCTTCTGTCTTCAAAGATGTAATCTGTAAAATCCTGATGTAAAATATATTGTGTTGGGCAATAGCTTGGCTTGTAAGTTAAAACCTGTGTATGTTACTGCTGTTACCATGTATGCTGATTAAACCATTACAATTAATATTCTAACAAGTTATGAAAATGAAGGGGGGGGAAAAAAAACTAAACCATACAACTCTGAATTTTCTCTCGGAAGATACAAAACAGAAGGACCTGCTGGGAAGGAACGGGAGGCAATTCTGGAGGAAGATGATGACCTCTGGGTGAAGATTCGGCACAAGCACATTGCAGATGTGATAGAGTATGTGAATGAGTAACAAAAAGTAATTACTAATGCAAGTTCTACAAATCTCTTTGGGAGGGAATGTGTTGGAGAGGTTCAGTAGGAATACAGGCAGCAGTGAAGATAGTTTGCAGTTTAGACTGCATCCTGTTAAACAGTTAATGCCGGGAGGAAAACATACTTTCAAAAATACAATATGTACAGAGGTGTGCAATTTTGCTAATATTAATTACTGTTCTTGAGGAAAATGGAAATAAAATAATTTCCTGGGAAGTGTGTTCATAACTTTTAAATCTGAAGGGATGCAAGTTATGGCATTAAATGACATTGTGCAGCTACTGTAAACAGAACGTTTCACTTTATTTTGCTGTGTTGAAAAGCACTCTGCTCTGAAGGAGACTTGTATCTGAAGCTTTTACTTTCATTCAGAAGTTCTTGTTGCACAGTTCTTCTAAGATCTGAAGATCTTAAGATCTTTTGCTGCTGGTGCATTTGATTTTCCTTTTTCTTCTCTCTCCCCTCCTCCCCAGGGAAATACCAAAGCTTTTGAAAGAAGTTTCGTCAAAAAGAAAAGAAACAGAAGGAAAAGTAAGCTTGTTTGCTTTTTGTTTTGTTTTGTTTTGTTTTCCTTAAAATTCAAATGTTTGTTTTTCCTCATAATTTAATTATATTTAGATGATCAGATGTTTGCAATTCATGGACCTATTAAAGAAATTGAGGCTTATCTCAGTGGTAATTTTTGTGGAGATTAAAAAAATAAAAAGGAAGACTGCCGCAGCAAGGCAAATAAGGATGTGAAATATTGAGGGGTAGAGTTTTAAACTTGTATCATTTTTTTCCACAGTTATCAGTATCTGCTTTGGCTCAGTTAATGAAAAAGATGCCGCACTATCGTAAAGAGATTAGTAAGGTAAGGGGTCTTTTGTAACTACAACTTCACAATAAATCATTTCATATGCTATAATTTCCTATGTTGTTTAAATCTTGTTTTATACTGTATTTTTTTACGTGTGCTGTATAACTTTTCTCCAAATTAACATGTTCACCTACTGTAACATTTTTAAAAGAAAACTTATTTCTAGGTGTTTCATTTTAGTATGTAAAAAACCCCATTTAAATGACTTTTGTACTTTACAGATTAAAAATAACATAACAGTTAAATGTTTTAAAAGATTAGGGAGTTAGATCTCTAAGTGAAGCATAAAACAGAAAATGTGTGGTAGTATGGAAGAATTGACTCTTGTAACCAGTAAAAATGATGGCTTGATGTGTTTTAAATAAAAAAAAAACTACAAAAAACAAGTTATGGCAGCTTCTATGTGTTTGTGTGGTGTGTTTTGGTTTTTTTTTTTTTTTTTTTTTTTCAAGTTGTTCATCTTAACTTAGCAGAAGATTGCATGAGCAAGTTCAAATCTAACATAGAAAGGCTCTGTAAAACCGAACAGGTATGTTAAAAAAGAAGAAAAAAGCAACTATTCCTGCAAACAAATAAGTCATGTTTGCAATAAGTTGTTGTTTGGTTTTTCTTGTTTGTTTGGTTGTTTTTTTAAAACTGAGCAAAGTAGTGTGTGTTTCCTTTTTTTAATCACTTTTTGAGGTGGTAGTATTATACAAGGCTCTCACTCTGCCGAGAAAGGAGGTGCTTGTAGAGTTTTGGCTTTTTGCCTTTGAATCAGGCTGATTTGTACAAGAATCATTTTCTTTTGTTCAAATCTACTATGAGATTGTGTGTTATGTTCTGCAGAAGGAAGCTCTTCTAAATTGTCTGGAAAAGTGCCTGTTAGGGTGAGGCATTACATTGTATTGCTAATCTCAAGCTAAAACCTGTAATTTACATTTATATGAATTCTAGATATCAAACAGTTTTAAACATTTAAGTGTTATGTAGTGTTGTTATAATGCTGTAACTATTAAAATTATTGTCAAAGACTTCACATACTGAGTTTAAATTGATGCAACTTGTTTCCTGAAACCTATGGCTTCTTAAAAGTGCATTTCAAAGCACACAAAACAGTGTTCTTTTTTAATTTTTTTTTGACCGCTCACTAAAAATCATGTTGGTTTATTTTATTTTATATTTAGGACTTGGCTCTTGGAACTGATGCAGAAGGTCAAAAAGTAAAAGACTCTATGAGAGTTCTCCTTCCAGTTCTGCTCAACAAAAGTCATGAGAGCTATGACAAAATTAGAGCTATTCTCCTGTATATCTTTAGCACAAATGGTAAGATAAGCTGCTGTATTTTTTATGTTTTTGGTCTCAGTCCTATGGACTTCAACTCAAATTTTGGGATAGTCCAGTATTTTTTATTAACTTATTGGAGTTGGCCAGGTGTGAAAGAAATACTTTCCATCCTCGAGAGCTTCTTTTTTCTCAGATTAGTAGTAAATATACCATTGATGAGGAATTAAGAGATTCAATACCAGTGCAGATCTCTACGGAGTTCTAATGTCATTTGTGTGCTTGGATGTGTGCAACAGTTTTTTCTCCTTTTCACATATTACTGAAGCTGTTAAAGGGGGAGCTCCCTGTCCATTGCAACCTGAAAATTAAGTTAGTGGGGAGGAATTTGTAGTAGAGAAGGGAGGAAATTGGTGAAATGCCTGAGGAATTAATAACAATGTTGAGTTTTGGTCTCAAAAGTGGGCCATTAAACAAAATTTTTTGTGAGGTGTAGTATTATGTTGAACTTAGACTGGCCAAACAAACAACAAAAAAAGCTGGTTTAAATAACAGCTCAGAGTGAGACAGAATTGATCTTACAGTCACTTGGGTGTATGTTTTTCTTCTACCAAAGGAACTACCCAGGAGAATTTGGACAAGCTGATCCAGAATGTACACATAGAAAGTGATAGTGATATGATAAGAAACTGGAAGTACCTTGATGTTCCTGTCATCTCTTCAGTAAGAATGTATTTATGTATTTTGTAATTTCCTACCACTCAAGTGCTTGTCTACAGCTCTTTCAGCAGCTCTTTGCAGTGTTATCCAGGCCTTTTGTTTGGAAGCAGCCAGTTAGTAGGAATTCTTGTTTTTATGATGTGTCTAAGTGGTTAATCCTTTAAAAACACATGGATAGTTTTCAAAGTAAGGTACTTACAGTGTTGCCTCTAAAATGATCAGATGGTGACTTGAGCTCTAAGTGGCTTTGAGAAATGCCAGCTTACCCAGTTCCTTTTTTTTTTCCCCCTGAAATTAGTATTTCTAGTATATGCTGTATTCTACAGGCATTAATTGTGGTTCTTTGTTGTTATGATGTCTTTAAAATTACCTTGTGATTCCTCCTCCCCCTGCTATTTAACCTGGTAGAAATTTCAAAAATCCAAATACAGTGTATAATACAACCATGTTTTGAAAATCTTTCCAGTCTACTGCTCAGCAGCATAAACACCCAAGAAGGGACCGTTCTTCAGAAGAAACTTTCCAGCTTTCTAGGTGGACACCTGTTATCAAAGATGTTATGGAGGTAAATTTGACCAACTAGTTAATTCATGGGTGCGGTGCAGGAATTTGCTCAAGTGAGCAGTTATGGCCAATCTTTTGAAATTCCGTAGTCTTGAGTTACTTCAGTTAAATACATCTGGTGAAACAAGTGATTGTTTCTAGTCTGTAACATAGAACATTGGACTGCTGAGTGCAAACGATGCTTCTTACTGGAGGTTGTTTTACATCTGAAGTAAATGGAAGTGTCAGCAAAAAGTCTTTTTGATTGTCCTGTGATTGCCGTGGTTTAGTGTCACTTAAAGATCTCTGTGGGGGTTTTTTTTGAGTTTGTTTTTTGGGGGGGAGTGGGGTTGGACCTTTTTTTTTTTTTTTTTTTTCCCCTCCAGTAGATCTTTAAACTGCAATTCAAATTTCAACTGCAGATCAGTAGAGGCTGGAAAATGTTACTTGCCAGAAGTGTAGTTGCTTTGTTCTTAAACCTCTCCTTAAGCAATAATTGGTGACTGATGTTGGACAGAACAGTGAGTTCACTGGACCTTCAGTCTGACCCAGTGCTAGGATTCATAGATTCTTAGTAATTCACGTGTTCTGTTGTGTCTTCAAGGGACCCTACTTTCTTTAATACGCTGCTATAGAGAAATTAAATTGGTTGGGGTCATTACAGATGAAAAGCTGCTAGTGAAATCTGAACAGTTAGTATCATGTTTATAGAGAAAGCACACATGCTCTCAATTCCTTGACATATACAAAAGCCGTGTAATAATTTTTAGCGTTACGTGGTCGGGCGTTTTGCTCTGTAGGAGTGTTGTTTGTGAGAGGCTGCTTGCGACAGGTTTTTCTTGGAAATGACACGTGCTGGCATTAAATTCCAGTTAAATGTCCTTAGTGGAAGTTAAAACTTGGTGTGTTTTAGTTCTACGTGGTTGTTTAAAGTGCATCTTTTGTTTTGCCCTTCAGGATGCTATAGAAAACAAACTAGATTCCAAAGACTGGCCTTATTGTTCCCAGTGTCCTCCTACCTGGAATGGTTCAGGAGCAGTAAGGTAAGTTATCCTCCTGAAACAAAATTTACATGTTTCTCATTGGTTTTGTCTTGTACCTTCTAAAGTATTATAAAAGCGCCCTTACTAGGTGGTAAAATAATGTATATAAGGTAATGTTAATGTGTGAAATGGATATTTTTACTTCACCCGGATTTGGTTGTCAGATGCTGGAATTCATAGCGGGGGAGGTGTTATACATATCCTAAATGTGAAGAACACACCCGAGTGGGATTTTATTTTTACCTTATTAAATTGAAGGCAAACTGTTGGTGTATCTTTATGTTCCTGGTGCAAGGAAACACTAGGGCAAGCCCCTGTATGTTGTAACTGGATTTCTCTCGCATATGCTGGTGAAACCTGGGAGTCTTCTAGGCACCCTAGCCTTGGAGATGATTTAATCTGAATCTGCAGTTATTGTACCTGTATTAGAACGTATTTTTTTAAACCCTCTATTTTTTTTTTTGTTCATAGCCATCTGAATCTTAGTTGATAACAGCCAAATACTTTTTTAGAGATTGTGGTTGGAGACTAAAAAACCCAAGATTCTTAACTTTTTCAAATGAACCTCTTTATGAAAAATGCCACTGGAAATGATAGTGTGCAGAATTTAGTTGCTCAGTACAAGTCCTTTGTGCATGAGCTGTGTGTGCAAGAAGGCTTTTACTTTCTTTTTTTTTTTTCCTCCCTTGAGATAACTATTTTGAGTAATTTTCTACCTTGTTTTCATTAAAAATCTTTTAATAATTTTGTCTAAATTCTTTTGCCAAAGTTATAATCAAACTATGAATTGCATGACAGAAATTGTTACTGCTTTAGTGTATAATCTTTTTACCAAAATTAATCAGTAAAGCTGTATAGATGTCGTCTTGTGAAATCTTTTACAGCGCACGCCACAAACCTAAAGCTAGTTATCAAGATGAGCGAAAGAGTCGTGCAAGGCTGATTATATTTGTGATCGGAGGAATTACATATTCTGAGATGCGCAGTGCTTACGAAGTTTCTCAAGCTTACAAGTCCTGTGAAGTTGTTATTGGTAAGCTTGTCTTGGGGGGGGAAAGGTTGTATGTAGGGGTTTACTACGTGTATTTCTGGAAAACGTAAGGTTTTTCTTTTTCCTGTGTTCCCTCAGTAAACTAATGCCATAGCCAACTTGAAACTATGCACTTAAAAGTATCTTTTCAGTTTATCTCGATTTTTTGATGTTTGGTTTGGGGGTTTGTTTGGAGGGGTATGTTTATGGTTTGGGGGATTTTTTGTGTGTTTTTTTTTTTTGCAACAAGATGTTAACGACAATAAATACAGTTATGATCTAGAGAAGTATCGTCATGAGTTATGCCCAAGAAATTTATTATTCGAGTCGCCTGATGTATAGCAGAAAGGATTTAAAAGAGGGATATTTCCTTGCATTACGGTTTCCTCAAACTCGCATCTGTCTGTGCTTTACCTTTAGCTTTACTTAGTACTCTCACGGCTTTTGAAAGTAGTAGGAAAGCTGGCAAACTAGTGCACAATTACTCCCTTTGAGAGGAACAGAAGATAAATATATTAAAAAAACCCCAACAAACTAAATAAACCTCTATCCTCCTACCCCAAACAAAACTAGCCAACCCCAAAAAGCTTTTCCAGCATAGCTCAGTTGACTTGCAACATCCTTTAATTCTTGTAATGGTGTATTCAGAGACTTTATACAAACCACAGCATGATATGTAGCTTTTGCCCTGAAAACTGAAGTAATCTCCCGTATCTTCTTAAGATTCAGCAGTAAATGCAGGAACTGCTGGCTGAGGTAGCAATCTCTCAGAGGCAGCAAATGCTTGTTTCATCAGCTGCTGTGCTGTAAATAATCATTTGCTGTAATGCTGTTTAAATTTAAGGTGCTGAAACATTTGTGTATCTGGTACACTCCTAGAGACAGAACCTTCCTGGAGACTTGTATCCATCTGCAGCCGCAGCTGGTGTCTGGGTGCTGGGTCATCCAAAGTGTTTGAAATCGCTTGGGATGGCTAAGTCTGGCAGTTAAATTTAGTTATGAGTTTCAGAAAGGCTTCAGTCCATCTACTATAACTTTAAATAAATACTCTTCCCTTGACTCTGAGATCTAGAGTCTCTTCCCTCAAAACAGTGGGGGGCAATGTAGGTGTGTTTGTGTGTGTGGTTGGTGTTTATTTTTTTGTGGTTGCTGCTTGTTTGCTTTCATTGTTGGTGGTTGAGGTAAGTTTGATGTTGGTCCTAGTTCTGAGTTGCAATGGAAGGACCAGGACAGCAGGATTGTAGTTTAACAAGACTCTTTCTTCATCCAAGACTTGTTTACAAAACCACGTTTAGCCTAGGTCACTCTTTTGCTGCAATATCTGGCACTAACCATGGCACCATCTTCCCTGTTGTTCAGAGATGACTCTTGTAGTTTTGTTTGTTGTAATCCTGATTTCTGAGGGAAGGTGTTAACTGTCCAATTTCCACGTGGCTTACTGCAAGATGAAAATCTTCATGTGTTCTGGAGTCAGAACTCAAGGAATGTTAGCTAAGACTAAAGGTTTGAGATAGCCCCAATCTTAAACAGTTTGGAGTTTCCTTTATAACTGTGAAATGACCCTTCATGGCAGAAGCTATAATTGCTTTCTGTGTGAGCAAGAGGTAGTTGTGCACTCCTGAAGAGTAATAAGGGTTTTCTTTGTTGCTCCAGACTTGGGATTACGTTGCAAAGGTTTTGAGGAAATGTTAGTCAATAAAAGCCAGTTCCCTGTAACTATTTCTGTGGAAAACTGCTGTTTGATAATATTCAGTGCAGGTGGTTTCATGATTCTACAATAAAACCTGTCATTAACTCCCCCTGTCAGAGAATGGGCAGATTTCTTGCAGGCTGGGACAATTGCCTACAGCAAAAGTGGCCCAGGTTCAAGCCTGTGTTTCAAACTGGGAGGAGCAGGGACTTGAGATATTTATCCAAAGGAAGTTTCCTAATCTGGGCATCTCAGTCTGTGGAAGAGGGACACTGCTTGCCTAATGGTGACACTTACCATATAAAGTGTCATCCTGTAAATACAACACCTGTAAACACTTTGACCTGTAATACTTCTCAGTTCTCTGGGAACAGTAAAAAAACCACTGGCACGTAATTGGTTATTTTTTTAATTTTATTTTTTAAGAGAGAATGTCTGAAAGTCAGAATTTCAGACCAATACAGTTAATATTTATTTTCTTTTGTCAGGTTCTACTCATATTTTGACACCTAAAAGACTGCTGGATGAAGTGAAGAGCCTTAGTAAACCGAAGGATATGGTCTGCATTAGGGATGAATAGAAATGGTCAAGTTCATTGCGTTAGGAAGACACAAATAGTATGTACATATTCTTATGGAATTGACTTTTCAAAATACCCTACCAGGACACTACATGGTTCTGACTAATGGAATATTATTTTATAATTTAAATTTGCTGCTTTTTTGTGGGGAGTAGAAGGCAGGGAGAGGAAAAAAGAAATGTTTATTAGGGTGTATTTAGTATAGACAGTGTTACACTGTGAGTGCTTTTGCAAACTGGCATGTTCATTCCTAACAAATCATGGTAAAAGTTTACCGTGATTATATCTAAACTGGAATTATCTTTGAGAACTGTGAATTTTTTCTGTAACAGAGTTTATTTCTAAAAAGGAATTAAAAAGCATCTAGGTTCTTAGAGGCTTCAGAAGAGAAGGTGTAAATATGAGTTTAGGGTAGAAATATTTCTCCCAAGTGCAGTGTCTTTAATATTTTCTGTAAAATAACTCACTGGAAATTCTTTAATATATGTAACTGTGAAAAATCAAAAGGTGTTTTTAGATGGTGGTGGGTAAGGTAAAAGTTAATCACAGAAGTGCTAAGCAGTTCTAATTTCAATAAATAACTTTGGAGAAATGCTGTCCACTGTGCACTGAAGTACACTTTATATTTAAGTATACACAGGGATTATTACTAAAGCTTTTTTAAAAAAAACTTAGTTTCTTACAAACTTCCTTATGATTGTCTGTATAGTCCATCTATTTTAAAAGCTGACTTGCCTAGGGTACAGAAGTTCTATAATTTTAAGCATAGATTTTCTTTTTGTGAGAGTGGGGCAGAGGAAAAGGAGATGAAAAGAATGGAAGGAGTTGAGTCTTTCAACCAGCTTGGTAATTTAAAAAAGCAGAAAACAACCCAAACGTCAAAATCTGATGCATTCAAGAGAATTTACTATTTTCTTTGACTTTGTTACATACCAAGAAAGAAATGCATAAGTTTTGTGTTAAAGGGGATCAAATAAAAACTAAATTGTATTAATTCTGTAATACCATTAATGTTTAGATTTGTCTTAGAAAATTACTTAATTAAAATTGCTAATTTTAAAGGGATGTTGTATTGATGTACCTTGAGATGTTAGTTTGTATGTACAACCTGAGAGAAGTGTCATCATGAGAGAATAGATTATCATGACTTTTTACTTATGTTTTTCACAGCTATAATGGGATAAGTTTTTTGTGGGTTGTTTTTTTTTGTTTCTTTCTTTCTTTTTCCTTATTTTTGTGCTCATATCATACATCTTAAGTTGGACACCTAGCCTGTACATGTGGGCCCAGACTCGCGTAAGCGCGGGTGTTGATCTGATGCGATTACCCTAGATAATAAAGAGAAATATTTACAAGTGCAATTAATTTTCTAGTGGACAAGATTCAGAGATGGCTAAGGGGAAAAGTTTAAAGATGGGGAAAAATTTCCATGTCAAGTGACTGAAATAAGATCGTTGATTAAGGGGGAAAAAAGGTGATGGATTATGTGGTGAAAGCAAACTGAAGACATTGGCTTCTTACTCAGTGTGTGAAGTAACACGTGAAACTTGAAGTTGTCAAATTCAAAAGAAAAGGACCTGTAGCATCCCAGATATTGTGCAGTACGGACACACTTTAAATTGTGATATGAGGGAGAGGGGGGAACATACATGAGAGAAAAATCTTTATAAGTCTGTTCATCACAAAGATATTACTGCTGTTTTGGAAAGACTCTGAGCTTTCACTTTGCCAGAGAATGTTCTGAGGAAATGTCTCTACACGCTTGTCGTCTTAAGAATGTCTAAGAAAGAACATACTTAGGACAGCATGTTCAGATGGTGACAAAGTCTAGCTGTTCCTGTGGTGTAGAAAGATTTCTATGGAAGAGATGAATCTTTTATTTATTGGATTGAGGAAGACTAGAGCAATTACTGCAACTATTAAGGTCACTTGCAAATTAAGAACGGGGATATTCTAAATATTAATCTAGCACAGGGGAGTGAGTCTTTCACTATCCTGTGCTGTTGTCTTAAGCTAAATAAAGCAAAAACATGGGTAATAAGGCAAATCAAGCAATGACATACAGAGCCTAATGGAGAGAAGCTAATGGTATTGTTGGCTATGAAGTGTAGAAGCAGCCCTGGAAGAAGGCATTACTTGAGCTAGTAAATCAGTGGTACACAGCTGCAAGTTTAGCTGTGGCCACTTGTGTGAACAGACAATTATCTCTGTATCCATCAGATGAAAGTGATGAAACCATTTGTCACTTGATGATTTTCACCAGTTCCTATATATACTGGGAATTACAACCCTGATAATACAACTGCTGTTTGTGTTTAATCAGTGCAGTTAATAGATTTCAGAAAGAAAACAAGAGATTACTTTTCTTGGCCCACTGTATTTCTACATCATTTAAAAATATCCCACCGTACTTGCTATCAGCTAAAATCTCAGAGCCTGATCCATCTGACAAGGTAAGGATGCTACAATGAAGAAACAGACAATTTAATTGTTAGGAATACACAGACAACAAATGGTATTACTTAATTACTGACACATGCAAAGACGTATCTTTAAAACAAACAACTCTCAATGTAGGTCACTCAGAACCCCAAATAATTACCTATGTTAACTATGACTTGGTGTGTTAGCATGATGCTTATAGGTGTATCGGTGCAGAGGCTCTTTCC